AGTACTTAAAAAAAAAAAAGAATGCACTGCTTCTGATTCTCCTTGCTCTCCACAAAATTGTTCATATAATTACTTTCCTTTCATAGTTGCCACTGAGGCCATGATTGACAGCCTCCCTTTTAACACCTTATTTATCATTCTCAAGTACAAAGCTTTCCATACTTTTCCCTACCTGAACATGTAGTTAAATTATAGGAAAGCTATTGGCCTTGTCTACTAGACTGGAAAAGTAATCATTTGTTTTAAATATAAGAATGTTAATTTCATTCTTTTATCTATCAATATGCTAATCCAGAATAGGCAGGTTGATTTTTTTAAGCATATACATGCTGATAAATTTGGCATTTAGTTATAAGATAGAATTATTTGGTCTTATTTATGTAGAAGGCAAAGTAGCATAGTAGGCACTATTTGACATGGAGTTAGAAGAATTAGATTTGAATCTTACCTCAGATATTTGTTAGCTATGTTGTTAGTAGGGACAAGTCTCTTAACAGTTTTGATTTTTAGTTTTCTCATCTGTAACATAGCAATAATACTTGCACTACATATCTCATAGGGTTATTATAAAGACAATATGTTGTAAATATTAAGGTGCCAAATAGATGTGAGTTATCATCCCTTACAGTAAACACATGTTCACATTTGGACATGAGGTAGACTGATTTCTTTAGTAGAGTTTATTATTCCCACTTTTACCCTAACCCAAATAAACCAGTAGTCAGAATTTAGTGGAAAAATGCTTAAGTAGAAAAGTTATGAATGTTCTTTGGTTCTTGACAGCCAAATTCTGCCAGGTCTTATTTGTTGACCTGGAAGCAGCTGAGCTGAGGGAAACTAGGAAGGGCTCATTACTAGGTTGGCTCAAGGAACCTACATGATGAGACAACTACAGAAATTATTATGATAAAATTAGAACGGAATTAAGTGAATAGGAGAAGTCAAGCACAGTGGCTTGGGACGTTGAAATGATTCCTTTCTAGTGATAGGGATCAGGAAAGGTATCATGAGATTGCTGCTTGAGATCAACCTAAAGGAAGAGGATGTCCATAAGCAGATGTGGTGGAGTCCCCCATGGGTCACAGATGGCTTATCTCCTTAACAGCATGTCTTGTTAATGATAATGATAATAACAAGGAATAGGGTCTAGACAGGTGTTTTCATTGGTATGAAGAATTCTCAGATAAAGAAACTCTTTACCAACATAAGTTGGCACCTCCTCAACAACTGATAATCATAGAGTTGCCTAGAGCAGCGCTATCAAACTCAAGTAGAAATGGAGGCCACTAATCTGTACGTAAGGAGTGATGTGGCCTGCGTACTGACTTCATTTTAAAATGGAATGTTATCTATGTTTTATTGTGCTTTTATTTATTTTGTTAAATATTTCCCAATCACATTTTAATCTGGTTCTGCTCAGAGTACTATGTGTTGATGCTCTATCCACTACATCGAGTTGCCTCTCAATTAAAAAAAAAAGATAATAGCTCCCATTTCTGTAGTGCTTGAAGAATTACAAGACTTTTCCTCCCAACAAACTGTGACATGGATAGTGTGATATTCTGCCTGTTTTTATAGATGTGGAACTCATGCTTAGAGAATTTAAGTGGCTTTTTACATCTAGTAAGCATCAAAGCAAGAAATCCAAATCAGGCATTCAGACCCTAAGTCTAGCACTATTTCTACCACATCATATCATAAGTCAAAAGAGGCATTGATTATTTGTTTGGTTTTTTTATTTTTATTTGGTTTTTTAAAATTATTTGGATTATCAGATTTCCCACCACTAATGAAAAACAAATCAATCCCAAGTACCTCTCCTCCTGAGGGTAGGTTAATAGTGTACTGTTTATGAAAGATAGCATTTTCCCCATTATGTACAGAAAACAAACTTTGGTGTTAAGTCAAACCGAATGACACAGTCCACTAGAGGTCTCCAAAATGGAATTCCATGACTGATATGTTATTTATGTGGTGTTCTCTTCATGGGTTATATGCATCTTTTATTCCTTATTTTCATTTATTTATATCAGACTTTAGCCTGAAACTAATTCATGTTTCAACTCTAGGGCATTCTCCAGAGATAACATGTAGTACACTCTTACCCCGGAAATTTTTTTCCTTTCAATAGTTATAAATACCCCCACGCTATTGTACTTGGCATGCTGTATGCAAATGTAGGTAGGAGGTCTAAAACTCATTAGGAAAGGGAGAGAGCTGAGGAGTATATAGAGGACAGTGTAAAGCTAAAGTTGATAACAGTGGCCTTGTCCAGAATAGGCCATGGGATTTTCCTTATCTCACTTTGGCAGGAGGTGCAGTGAGCTTCCTGTGCGAAATCAGGAGCGTATGCTGCTTTCCTCTTGTTGTTTAGCTTCCTCCTCTCTACAAGACGGTTCCCAGCACTGTGATTATCTCTGCATCTTCAAACATGGCACAATATACTTCCTTAAGAGCTTGATGTATTCTTAAGGTTCAGGCAAATTCCCTTCCCCCCTAAGTCTCTTTTCAAGTTCTGTTATATAGCCAATGCCCAAGATGATATTCTATTTTTAAGGTTGAGATTCCAAGTTACCAAAAAGAAAAAAAAAGTTCCTCAAATAGAGATATATTAAAACTGGAAAGAAAATAGCAACTACAGGACTCTATGGCTTATTGATAGAATTTGGGGCTTTCAAGTGAAACCCTTCTACAGTCTTCCATTGCCAAAGTCCATAGAAATAATGAGCTTCTGTGTCAGAATGACTGACTGAAGGAATGCAAGGAAGGAATGCATGTGAGGTCAAACAGGCCTGAGTTGAGCCATATGAATCTGGACAGCAGGCCTCCTGTCATCCTTTGTGCTGGGGAACCTCCCAGTCTTATTTCACCCTAGTGTGCAGATTTGCATTTCCTGAAGACAGGGGGTTTGAGATTAACATCCTGGACCACAACCACACCATTCAGATTGTGCTGGGCAATAGAATAAAAATTAAAGGTCTCTTCTTCCAACCACAAGAATTTTTCAGCCATTGTAAACGTAAGCCTCAAATGTTTAAAATAAATTTTTGAAGTTAAAGAAAAGTACAAGTTAAGGAAGTCAGCTACGAGAAGAGAGAGAACACTAATATTAAGAAAAAAAGAACAACGTGATTTTTATGTGTCTTTTTTTTAATTACTATTTTAAATGCTTCAGGGGGGTGGGGGGAAGAAAAGCGTTTAGTAAATAGCCCTACTGCTTAGGAGGAAGTAAATTAAAAGCTTACTGAAATATTATAGTTTTTGGCAAGTATTAGTGATGTAAGAAGAATTGGGAATTGTGTGCAGAGTCTGAGAATTATTTTTGGACAATGACATATAATAGATATAAAACTCTTTCATTAAAACATTTTGTTAAAAGTTTGGCTTTGTCCTTCAGCTGTGTTACTCATTCACTAACATAGAAGATAATTATTTTTATGTTTAGCTGACTCATAGTTCCATTAATTGATCAATGGTTGAGAATATTTATATTATTTGTTTTTCCTTCATGCTAGACTTGGAATATTTTTCATTACATTTCTACATTTCAATAGCATTTTATCATTACTTATATAATTTTTAGCATGATGCCAGATTTGTGAATTTTTTCTCCTCTTTCAGCCCAGGCTTATTTTTCTGATTCTTTCTTGACCACATGACTACTTGCTAAAACAAATTCTCAGGCTGTGGACATAATTCCTCCAAGCATCACAAACAGTAGCTTTGAGGGAAGCCTGTCATCTCTAGGGAATCATTTCTTTTGGGACTTTGTGCAGGCCCCTATAAATGGTACTAAAGAAAACTTTTCATGAGTTTATGGCTCTTTTGGTGTTTTCCACAATATTGGTCGATGGAGCATCTCAGTTGTCAACATCTATCAAAGAATCTTGCACAGTCTTAATGTATGTATGAGAGATGCCTTGTTGGAAGAGCACATTCAAAGCTATGTCTTGTTTTACTGAGTCAAATGCTTTCTTGTCATCAATAATAATAATGAACGCAATGAGATCTTCTGTTTCCTATGCTTCTTCATCAATTGGTTGTCTATGAAGATATGGTCTGTAGTAGAAAATCATATATGAAAGCCTACCTACTCTTTCCCCATAGTTTCATTAATTGTACATACTAGTTTTTAAAAAGCAAATAATATTCCATGGAACATTGGGGCTGAATGGCATCTCTGAGGGTCATCTGGTCCAACCCTTCATCTTATAGATAGGAGGCTAAGGGTCAGCTGAAGTGATTTGCTAAGATACTCTAAAAGTTCAGAAGAATTTAACTGAATTTTACGAAAGTGCTACAGTCTTTTTTTGATATGTACCCACAAAAAATGAATGCAGTCTTCTGTTATAAAGCCAATTCCTTTCAGATACAAAGTGATCTTTTCTTTATTAACATAGCTTCAAAGTTGTTGAGTTGTTTGTTTATTTGTTCTTTTTTAAAAAACATTTTCATATCAGCATCTTGGGGTCTAATTAGATATAAGAGTCTTAGCTTTCTAGTTATCCATGTAATTTATCCTTTGTTGTAATTCTAAGTGTGGTGTTGGTACATAGCAAAGCAATCTTGGGGTCAATAAGACTTGGATTAAATTTTTGCCTCTGGTATATATTAATTGCGATTCATCAAACCTTTCAGTGACACAGGCTAATCTCCAAGACTGTCCATTGAAAATTAGTTGCTGATTTGTGTTGGTGGGAAATGGGACTCCACATTGGGAGTACTTCCTACTGTGATGAAATCACAGATTCAGCTGAAGCATCTTTGGTTGAATATTCAGTTTACGTGAAAGATGTACACAGCTGTCCAAATGTAGCTGGTTTTCTATACACAGAAGAGAAAAAAGGTCTACATAAAATGTGCATCTTAGTTATTTAAACTCACTGATTCCCTCTCAGGACTGATATTTAAGAAATCATGAAATCTTCCCCCAGCATTACCATGGCCTTGATACTACTATAAAAAGCAGCATTTTAATACCAGCCCTTTTGTGCTTCCAGGTATGACTTTTGCTCTAGCAGTGGCAGATCTTTCAACTTGGACACTGACAGCAACATTGGAAATAGAATCCAGACCATCACTCAACGTATGGCCATAATACAAGGAAAGAATAAGGTATTGTTTGTAAAATGCAAGAACTATATCCTGTTTTATTGCTTGTGAGACAATAACTTGGAGTCTCTGATTTATGAGAGTCAGGCACACTCCAAATATATAAAAACCTTGATGTAGTCTAGGGACATATTTTAGATAAAGCATTAGTGAAGTCTGAGTCAGTGAAGAGACCTGCTGGAATCTCTGTAGCTGACACACTCTCAAAAATGTTTATAATTCTAAAATAGTAAGCTTATTACTCAAATAAAGAAAAGTGGAGAGGTCCTCTCGCATAGTAAAATGATACATATAAACAAAGCCTCCAAAGAAATGTAGGCCAGGTAATTGAGATTCTGCTGAATTTATTTGAATAAAACCGAAATTTGGGTTCAATAAGACTTTTTCTCCAAAATATTTTCATTCCATCTATGGTCAAGAACTTACTGGATTGAGAGCCATGAGCTGCCTCTGGCTGATTGATTTAAGTAGAGAATTGTATTCTACCTCTCTCTGCAAATCACTGCCATCATGGCCTGGTAATGGTTAAGGCCCCTTCAACCAAGCAAAATCTCACAGAATCTCAGCTCTAGTGCCTTTTCCTGACAGAATGTACGACTGAACTAGTTAGATATCCAATTTTGACCGGCATAGAAATGGTGATAATTTTAAAAAGGGAAAAAATATATGATCCCTTTTAAAGTTCTTATTTATTAAAAAAAAAACTCGATAGACAGTGTTCCATTGTGGATAAAACCAAAAAAGTCCTGGGTTCAAATATTGCCTCTGATACGTATGTGACTCTGAGTGAGTCACTTAACCTTCAGTGTGGCAGCCAAGATGGCAAAGGAGATATAACAACAGTAGTTATAATTATAGAAGTTAGGATTTATATAATGCTTTATAAAGTTTACAAAGTGTTTTCCAGAGTCCTAGTCCAATACTCTGTACCATCTAGCTACCTTCACTGTTGGACTTGGAAGTTGAACTTGGATCATAGGAAGACCTGAGATCAAATCTGGCCTCAGACATAAGTCACACACTAGCTGTGTGACTCTGGGAAAGTCACTTAACCTTTGCCTGCCTCAGTTTACTCATCTGCAAAATGGAGATAATAATAATAGCATCTGCCTCACAGGGATTTTGTTAAGGTCCAGTGAGACAACACATGAAAGCATTTTATGAACCTTCAAGTGTTGTGTAAAATCCTAGATATTCTTATTATAGCTGTTATTACTTAACCTGTCACTGTTCTAGCCAAATCTCCAAGGCTATAAATTATAGGGAGAGTATCAACTTGCATTGGTGAGATTTTCCTCACTTAGTAGTTTCCTATACCAGTGAAATCACAGGTCCAAACCCTATCCCTATCCACTTTATAAAACTATACTTTGATTTGGAGTAGCAACTATAGAAAGGGTAGCTGAGAAGTTCAGTGGATAAGAGGGCCAGCCTTGGAGTCAGGAGGACCTGAATTCAAATCTGGCCTTGGACACTTGACACTTACTAGCTGTGTGACACTGGGCAAGTCACTTAACCCTGTTTGCTTCAGTTTCCTCATCTGTAAAATGAACCAGAGAAGGAAATGGCAAACCACTCCAGTATCTTTGCCAAGAAAACCCCAAATGGGATCACAGAGAGTCTGAAATGGCTCAGCAACAACAATTATACAGAAATACATGTTCCTATAATATTAGAGTATTTGTATTGCCTCTTTATCTATAACCTTTATATTTAAAAGTGACAAAGGAACTACTGATACTTCTTGTGCTAGACTTTCTAACAGTCATCTTAGCTGACTCTCAAAGTGGTTAAAATGGTGATGTCCTGCTATCCCCAACCACACTCATTTACTCTTGTTCCTAACAGTCTATTTCATGAGATAGCTGTCAAAATTTAAGGGAGCCGGTGATGTGGCAGCAAATAATGAGCTCCAGGCTTATGTTTTGTAATTCATTTACCATATGAACAAATTTCAGTTATGTTGCTCTCTAACACCCTGCTATGTGCAAGTCACTCATCGGGCAGAAAGGAAGGAAGGAAGGAAGGAAGGAAGGAAGGAAGGAAGGAAGGAAGGAAGGAAGGAAGGAAGGAAGGAAGGAAGGAAGGAAGGAAGGAAGGAAGGAAGGAAGGAAGGAAGAAAGGAAGGAAGAAAGAAAGAAAGAAAGAAAGAAAGAAAGAAAGAAAGAAAGAAAGAAAGAAAGAAAGAAAGAAAGAAAGAAAGAAAGAAAGAGAAGGAGGGAGGGAGGGAAAGGAAGGAAGAAAGAGAGAAAGAAAGAAAGAGAAAGGAAGGAAGGAAGGAAACAAATGTTGACTGATTGATAGGATAGTCTGATGTCATCTTCCAAAATTGATTGTGGCATATGTTGACAGCCATCTATTTTTAAAACATGAATTGAGAGCAGTGGCTTTCCTTCAGTGACTGTTATTTCTAAAGAAGACGTATGTGTATATCGAAGTCAAGAGTCAGTGCTTTCATCAGGGTAGGAATTCCCTCTCCTAAAGTAAGGATCCGTTGACACAAGTAGTCATGGAGAGTTCCTGAGGATCAGAGAAATTCAGTGACTTGCCTACATTTACCTAGCTAGTAAGGTGTACTTGAACCCAGGAGTTTTGATTTCAAAGCCATGCCATCTCTCAAGTATCTACATAGCATATACTGTGGATACATAATGTGGACTCACATTTCTATATTACTTTAAGCTTTACAACACACTTTCCTCCTAAAAGCCCTATAAAGCAGGTTGTACCATGCAACTCTCTATTTTATAGATTTGAAAAAAAAAAGGAGCATTTATTAAACATCTAGTTCTAAGCACCACACTAGACACTTGACAAATATCATCTCATTTGATCCTCACAATAACCCAGGGAGGAGGGTGCTATTATGATCCCTATTTTACAGTTGAGGAAACTGAGGCAGACAGTGGTTGAGTGACTTGCCCAGGGTCACACAGCTAATAAATGTCTGAAGTAGAATTTGAACTCAGTTCTTACTGACTCCAGGCCCACTGTTATGTGCACTACGGTGCCATGTAGCTGCCAAGGAGAGATTCAGAGAGTTTAGTGAGTCATTCAGTTGTATAATTGTATATCCAAGTCTTTGAGACTACATTTAGTGTTTTCTTGGCAAAGATACAGGAGTGGTTTGCCATTTCCTTTTCCAGCTCATTTTACAGGTGAGAAAACTGAGGCAAACAAGGTAAAGTGATTTGTCTAGAGTCATACAGCTAGTAAGTATCCAAGGCCAGATTTGAACTCAGATCCACCTGACTCTAGGGACAGTGCTCTATCTACTGTGCAACCCAGTGAATTAGCCAAAGCACAAAGCTATACCTTAACAGGCCTACCTTATAATCTATGCCTTCTGATAGATATGACTTAGGAAAAATCTTAGTTCACATCCTGGATTTATTCAGTTGGACTCTATTTATATAGTTCTTATCCGTGTGAAATCTAGTTTACTCTGTATACGTTTTTCATGACAGTTGGAAGTGGTAGATTCATTTCTGATTGATGTGTTCCAATTTGTCCTTCTCAAAATTAGTATGTGTGTTTTCCATTCTTCAAGAATTCCAACTCGGGCTATAAGGAATGCTATAACTACAAATCAGTCCTCCCACAGTCCAATCACCTATAATGGTATGGAAGAAAAAGCAGATTCGTGCCCATTAGCACATAGCAGCTATACAGCAGCTGAATGACATAGCTACCCCACTGAATTCCTGAAAGGTCTCAGTGATTTTCTTTTCTTTCTTTCTTTCTTTTCTTTTTCTTTTTTTTTTAAAACTAAGCAAGGAAGGGTTTTCAGGGTAATAAAATCCAATTTCATTCTTGAATGGATTTGGCCAAGACTTGTGAAAAGTGAGTCATCAGGAGTTTCAGACTCTATTGGTTGGACGCTGACAGATTATTGGGTTTGCAGAAGTAGAACAGAGTAGGAAAGAGAAGGAATCCTGAGTTCAGAGAGTTAAAAGAACACAGGAAATGTGTTCTATGTTATTAATTCTGCAAGACGGCAAAACTGTGACAACTACAATGTTTAACAACATTTCCGTTGAAACTGTTTCGAAGGCACCTTCAAGAAATTTGAGTACTTCAAAGGAATAAATACATGACATAAGCAATAATACTTAATCACGAAGTTACTGCTTGGGTGACTCAGTTCCCACACCCAACAGAACTTTAATTCTCACGTTCTACTTTCCCATCAATTGACAAAAATGTGCCTCCCTATGTTAATTTTAGATTCTTCCTTGACCTTTGAACGTCTACTTTTATTCCCCTTGAGCACTTAAAAAGGAAAATATATTAGTAGCAGTCTAAGATTAAAATCACTGTTTTATTTATAGATATTTTTAAACCACTACTGGAAGTGAGGCTGAATTAGAGAATTGGCCCATCTAGTCTGTCCCATCAGGACTATTCCACATTGTATAATTCATCAACATGGAGTGAAAAAAAGAAAGAAGGACTGTGAATTAATTCCCATTTCACACTACCTGGCTGAAATTTTCATGAGTTTTTCTTGAACCTAAAAAAATAACTCATAAAGATGAACTTGAAGGGCTTGTCACTTTTCTGTACCCTTGAGGTAACAACATAATATGGGTTAGGAAGCCAAAATGTGAATTCTGATTTTTTAAGAACTAAATCTACTGAGCCTTCAAATTGAATCATACCAAAAACTCCAGCCAAAAGCATGTATGTGACATATTCAGCAACCAAATTAGCAAAAAAAATAATCACTATAGATTCATATTGTTTTCATTTATTTGCATGTCTGCTGTCTGGACGTCATGCTGCTTTAGCACTAGAGGGTAAGGGCATTTTCTATATAATGCTCAAAGCAATGGAAGCATCTAGTAGAAATCAAAGAATAGCAATGTAGGTTGGATTAGAAACACCACAGATTTAGGCTTCTAGCTTTATTTGAGTAATTCTCCTCTGTCTCTTCCTGTTTACCTTTCTCCAATAGGTACCTGATTTTTTACACAGTTATGGAAGAAAAATAATGACAGAATTAGCAGTAGTAATACATAAAACAAGAAATCTTGGTGTTTTCTTTTCAGACACATTGTAAAAACATTAATGAGCAATATAATTTCAAATTTATGTAGGATAAACCCTTTTATACATTTTTCCTTTAAAATATTAATTTTGCCTTTGATATTCCCACTGTGATATTATTTTTATTCAATTTTTATATCAGCAGGTCTTAGGTCTGAATATCAAAGGACTATTGGCCATTTAATTCATAAGACTCTTGCTTTAGGACATACATGCAATTCTAGAATGAAACTAAAGTTATGTAACTATTATCAAGTCACTTTCCAATTCAGACAAGATAAAATTATACACTGACACTTGAGTTTCTCTTGTCTAACTATGTAAATTTTTGTTTTTAGCTGTGAATGTATTGAAAATACTTTTAAGGGGGAAAGTTATACATGTTTACTTTTGTGAAAAATTGTAGTTTCCTAGAAATAAGAAATTCATGGAGAAAGATTGTTATATAATAATGAATTACTTTGACTAAACAAAGTGCTTAAATTTTATTATAATTTTTATTAAATATTCATTAATGCTTTTACTTTTTTTGCCAGTGAAAGTGGTAGCATAAATACAAAATGAAGGAAACCATTGTCTCTGTGTGCAACAATCTTTAGTCCTTGTAGCTTTTCATCATTAATTAAGGACTAACTCATCAGGGAAGAATTGATATAAACAATAGAGATTGTTATGATGAATCTCATAACTCAGTCGTTTTTTCTATCTGGATGCTCCACCAGTGAAATCAATTGTAAGCTGTAGCCCCTACCAATCTCTTCCTAATAATCTGTAATAAATTCATTTGTTTGATGCATCCCAGTGGTTCATACTTTCAAAGTGGAGGCTGACAGCCAATGGCACAGGTAGGGAAGGCAGTGTAGCACCTTCAGGAGTAGGAGGAACACCCCAGGTCAAAAAAAAAGGAGCAACAGGCTACCAACGTCCGACAGAGTCCAAGGCTTTCTAGCTCACTGGACCTGAAGTCTGATCCCTTGAACAGGACCCAGAAAGGCAGGGACAACTCTAGGCCCCTTGCCAGTAGGAAGCAGTTTCAGAAGCAGACACCTTCACCTTTTACCCCAAAAAGAATTTGGTCCCATTTGTTTGAGGGGGGAATGATGGGATACAGGTCCAAGTGGAGACCTTTGTCCCTTACCCCAAAAAGAATTTGGGTCCCATTTGTCTAAGAGATTCTCCTTGAATTCTCACACTTGATCAAGGAGGTCTCTGGCGTTCCCCTCAGGCCACAATCCCATCAACTGGTCTTTCATTGTGGCTACTCCCAGTCTCCCAATTCTGTGCTGTTACCTCCCAGTTGCCCCTAGCCACTTCCCACCCTTAATCCTATCTAGACCCCATTCTCCCTCAGCCGCATAGTCCAGGTCCTTGGTGTTCTGCTCACCCCAGCTTACTGGCCATCCCCATCCAGAATCTCCTTAAGCCTCTCCTCCAGTCACCCCACACTACTTGGCCACTCCTGGATCCCTCCCGCAGTCTTTCTGTATATAAGGTCCATTTGTCTCTATTAAGGTGCTCAGATTCTTATAATCTAGCCAATAGCTCAGTAATGTTCAGATTCCTTAAGAGTCTGGCCAATATGGTGGGCATTCTAATAAACCTTGGCTTTTGCTGGAAAAATTTTTTTAAAAAAGGAACAAGTAAGAGAGGCTAGATGTTCATACTGAGTTAAATTTAGAGTTTGTTGACTCCTTATCTGACCATGGTTCATTTCACTTTTCTGAATCTCACTTTCCTTGGCTAAAAAACTGGGATCCTAACCTGTCTTTGGTAAAGTCACCTAAAAATGGTTATCAGGAGCTTTGGTCAACTTTTGATTATATGCTTTCAAACTCTTCATTTTGTATCATGATAGATGGTGAGACGCCACAGTGGGATAGAGTGCTGGCCCTGGAGTCAGGAGGACCTTAGTTGAAATCTGGCTTCAGACATTTACCAGCAGTGTGACCTGGGGCAAGTCACTTAACCTTGTTTGCCTCAGTTTCTTTGTAAAATGAGCTAGAGAAAGACATGGCAAACCACTCCTGTATCTTTGCCAAGAAAACCCTAACTGGAGTCACAAAGAGTTGAACAGGAGAGAACAACAATAATTTTTACTCCCAGGTTGACTTCAGTCCATTAATTAGAATTATGGCTTATTTTTAAAAATATATTTATTAATAATTAGTTATTTATTATTAATCTTACAAGCATTTATTAGTTTTTTCCCACTATCCCCTACATTGAACAATTCTTAAAAGTAAAATAAATGCCCTCACAGCAAATACACATAATATAGCCAAATATATTCCCATATTGATGACAAGAATCATGGAACTTTAAAATTATAGTGATAGGGGATATCTTTTATTAAATTTAGGGGTAAACTGCATCTGGTTGGATTATTCTTATTTTTGAGGTGATGGGAATATCCTTATTAATTGCATTTTCTTGGTTTTCCTTTGAAAGAGGTAAGGGATGTCACTTAGTTAAAGTATACCTCACCATATAGGGGAAAGTCTCTAAAACTCAGCATTCTGTTAGGCTTACTCATTGACTGAGAAGGAGCCCAAGATAATGGCAGACTGTGAGAGGAGACTAGGAATGATTTTCTTTATTATTTTGTTCCCCACCTCTTGAAAATAACCTGGTAAAAATAAATAATCAGAAGAAGGGAAACATTTGAGCCCTCCTTCACATTCTCCCCTTCTTGTGGCCTTTGCCCAGTTGCTTTATCCTGATTCTGTTTCTTGGTAAATTAAGATGCACTGAGAACAAAAAATATATGCATTCCCAACCTTTCTTCTCCCTGCAAATTCCAGGAATAGATCACTTTTGTCTTTAGTTTGTAGAACAAACTATAAAATACTGTTTATATTTTATCATTAATGAATAATAATCAGAAAAGTGGGGGTAGATCATCATATTCTTTTTTTTCTCAATGCTTGAACCACCTACTGATTATATAGGTTCAGCAGCTTGGGAAACTACTTTGAGACATTTGGCCTATTAGGGCAGTAGGCTCTAAAATTCTGTAATTGTATTTAAAACAGACATACATACATATACATACACATATGTATACATGTACGTACATATGTAAACGAACACATATACACACATAAACATACATATACGTATGTATATGTATGTATCCTGATACCCTGAGACCATCAGTGTAGCCTTATAGGCTTACTGAACTTACAATGACTTGGAGAAACTGGTCTTAACTTGAAAATTTGTTGAAAAATTTCAATAAACATTCCTTCCAGTAATTCTAAAACCAAATAATCTTGCTTTGGACTTTTTGTATTTGTGTGTATGTGTTGAGCACCCATTCAATCTCAGTACTGAATTGTATTTTAGAAATACCAATAAATACCTTTGTTTATCTAAATAATTCTTTCACTGTTATAAAGGTTTTTCTGAAAGAAGGTATTCATACCAATCTTCAAACACTAAGGACTTTTGTTAACACCCCTTCCCTTTCTTTTAAATACAGTTTTAGAAAGTGCTCCCAAATACATAAAAGTAAACTGTTTCCTGACTTCTCATATTTATTTCTTCAAACCTGTCACCAACCCAAGCAGCTGGAGTGAAAACACATGAAATGTTATTGCCCATTTCATTTTTGCTGTCAATTTAACCAAACCTTAGAATCTCCATTTCTAGATTAGGAAGCTCAAGGAGTCAGAGGCTGTCCTTTACTAAAAACCACAGAGTTCTAACTTCCAATCTTGTAGTGAGTTCTAACTTCGTTAGCACTCCCCACCCTCTAGTTTTGTTTTGTTTTGTTTTCATTCTGGGATACAGCCCTTTGAGATAAGTCATCCTCCCCTTTGAGCATATTATAAATAAAACCGTTTAGCAGATTGTTCACCCGAAGTCATCCTCCCCTTTGAGCATATTATAAATAAAACCGTTTAGCAGATTGTTCACCCCAACTTTGGCTCACCTGGTGTACCCACACCAAGCCTGATGAGCAGAGCAAGCTCTCAGCAATCATGTGATCTCGGGGTCAGCCAAACAAACATCCACTGCTGCCCTTCCTCTCATTGATCCTTCTACCAGAGTGGGACGTGCATTCCCTCACCTCAGGCTTAATGGTGTGTAATTGTGACTCCAGCAGCACGAGACAAATAAGCATGAATTGCTCATTCGATCAGATGGAGAGGCTGTGAGTCTCCTGAGAAACTGTTTTCCTGTTATTTTTCCATTATTTCTGGGGCTCTGCGAGGAGATGGCCTTCCGATAATCACCACCACACTACCTTTTTACTGAATGAATGGAACAACAGAATCGTGTTAGTGGTCAGGGAGCCCTTGGGGCGTATTCCAACAACCTCTTGTGCTAACGCCAGCTAAAATGACTGTGTCTTTTACAGATTGCAAGCACTCTGGTCGTGGCTGACTCTAGAGCTTCTGGAATCTATAGCTGTGTGGCTTCCAATAAAGTTGGACATGTGGAAAGAAACATTAGCTTTTATGTCACAGGTAAGCTGCAGTTACTCCACCATCAAAAGTGGCCTTCAAACCTCCATCATTTTTTTAGGATCACTTCACTCTGCTGCAGGTACTTTCTTCAGTCATGGATATAAATTGGACTTAAGAGATCCAATGCCATGTCATGTCATTTATAAATTGTCGTACTTGGAAAGGAATGGTCACATTCTGAGTAGCTTCATCCAAGGGCTCAACCTAAACTGTCTAGGAAATTGTGATTTTTGGAATATGATTTTACCTATGCTTTGGATTACCCTAAGAATCATTATGTCACTGAGTCCTTTGACTGAAATCAAGTGAAGAATTATTTCTTAGAATTCTCTTCCCCAATATAAAACAGTAATAAGTCATTTAATGACATGGTCTTCTAATCAGGAAATTAATGGTTCCTTCGTCAGTAAATAGAGGTGTTAGATTTGAGCAATGGACTTGGACACAGGAGGCCTGGATTTAAGTCCTACTGTAGACATTTTTTAGATGTGTGATTGTGAGAAAGTCACTTAACCTCTCAAATCCTTAATGTCCTCATCTATAAAATAGGGATAATAATACTGCCTACCTTACAGGGCTCTTATAAGGAAAGTACAAACCTTAAAGTGACATGCAAATGGTATTTATTATAGATAAATGACTTCTGGCTCCTGATACTATTTCCCCACATTTTGTGGAATCAATATCCATCTGGATTTAGTATTTCTAAATCAGATTTGATCCACAGGTTCAAAGGGATGAAATATGATTTTATATCTTAGACATCAAAAGTGTTTTAGGGTATTCCAAATTATAGGAGATATCTTGTATTCATCAAAAAAAAGTGATTGTTTCTGCAAATTTTATATTGCCCAAGTTCTATAAATCGCTCTCTCTGTGCAACCCTCCTGGCACAGGAAGGATGTAAGAAGCTCAGAGTATAAAAACAATTGCCCTACTCCACCCCCTATCCCTCCCAAGAAAAATCTGAGGAAGTCTGGGCAGAGTGCCAGCCTTCTGGAAACCTCACACTGTACCTACTCTGCAGAGTAAGTTATGAACAGAGTATCTTCAATTTCTCCAGAATGATCCTATTCCAGATATACATAGGTAGTAAGGTTGTGTGGGAGGCCACCTCATAAGCTAACTCAGTATCAGAGAAGCTGCTTCATGGGAAACATCAGAGAATAGAAGAGGATTGAACTTTAGAGCTTAAAAGGTACTTTGTTTTTTTTTTCAGTCATTTTTCAGTCCTGTCTGACTCTTCATGACCCCATTTGAGGTTTTCTTGGCAAAAATACTGAAGTAGTGTGCCATTTCCTTCTCCAGCTCATTTTACAGATGAGGAACTGAGGCAAACAGGGTTAAGTGACTTGACCAGAGTCACATGGCTAGTAAGTGTCTTGTGCTGTATTTGAACTCAAGAAGATGAGTCTTCCTGACTCCAGGCTTGGCACTCTATCTGCTATGCCAGCTAGCTACCCTAAAAAGTACTTTAGAGAGCAACTGCTCCAAGGGTTCTTAACCTGAAGTTTGTGGACTTTTAAAATTTTGAAACTATTTCAATGTAGCTGGTTCCCCTTGTAATCTTAACATATTTTATTGCATACATTTAAAGACGGGATTCTAAAAAAGGGTCCATAGGTTTTGCCAGATTGCCAAACGGGTCCAGAACCCAAAAAAGATTAAGAAACTCTGATTTAAGTCCACCCTCCTCACTCTACAGATTAGGAAAGTGAGGCCCGAAGATAAGCCTCGGCCATGAGTCAAAGACAAAGCTGGATTCTAGCCCAGTTTATAGCCTCTCTGGTTAATGAAGAGAAGTTTGAGATACATCTACTTTCTGGCCATTCTAGTCAATAAAATACGAGCATGGTGTTCATTCCAAGTGAGTGAAGGAATGAAGTTCCTTCTAAATACCTTTGTGGATAAACCTGATATGGCTTAGGCTGATGCAGCTTGAAGATTCTGTCGGGTCCTTTGCCTGAAAACAAAACAAATCACTTCCATAAGGGCCAGCCTGTTATGCGCTGGACACCACACAGCAGGGACAACAGGACAAATGAGTGGCATATCCCTGCCCTTCAAGAGGCTGTAGTTTTGTGGGTGTGAATGTTTTACTTTTTCCTCACTCTTCAAATAGGCGCCTGGGTTGTCAGGTCTCCAAGATACTGAAAACACTAGCATTAAGCCTGTCCTACCCAGTTTTTAGTTGTTATTTTGCCCAAAGAAGAGTCCAGGCTGAGAAAAAAACTGACCTTCACTTAAGCTCAGGAAAAATTCTTCCCACTTCCCTCCAGTCTCACCTCCGAATCAATCATAGAGTTAGAAGAGAAATTAGGGGCCATTCATCTAGACCAGCCCAAATCTGAAAAAGAACCCTGCTTATAATTTACCTGATATGTACTTATCTAACCTCTAAGATCCCCAGTGAGGGAAGATTCCTGAGACAGCCCATTCTATTCTGTTAAACTTTTGGTAGAGGAGCAGCTAAGTAGTGCAGTGGATAGAGCACCGGCCCTGAAGTCAGGAGGACCTGAGTTCAAATCCAGCCTCAGATACATAATACTTACTAGCTGTGTGATCCTGGGCAAGTCACTTAACCCCTATTGCCCAACCAAAAACAAAAACAAAAAAACCCAACTTCTGGTAGGAAGTTTTTCCTTCCATCAAACCTCAATTTGTGCCTCTGAAATTTTTATCCATTCTTCCTGTTTCTATCCTCTGGGAGAAAATGAAATAATTCCAATCTTTCTTCCATATCATAGTCTTTCAAATAAAGTCTTGTAGACACCTCTCATACCTGTCTCATAAACACCTCTCATACCAGTCTCTTAGTCTTCCCTTTTCCAGGTTAAATATCTCCAGTTCCTATGCTAATCCTTATAGTATTGCCTAGTTAAGATCCATGGGAAGAATTGATAAATCTCCTACCTCCAGTGGCTTGCCTGTTGAAAGGAATTTTAAGAACACTAGGGTAAAAGGACTTTTTGAAATGTACAGCCACCTTTCTTGTCTCACTTTCTTTTACCAGTGAAATCTGGTTTTTGTTACCCCCTTCCTTAAAACCGCAGTTTGACTCACAGTTGCCTTCCAAATCAAAGCATAATGATTGATCATAGCTCATATGTATAGAGCATCTTCCTCACAACAAGGTAGTGATGTTTCTGGTAATATGACCTTTATTTTACAGCTGAGGAGACTGAGGTTTATTAAGAAGGTTAAGTGACTTCCATCATCACACAGCTAGTTGATGCCAGTCAGTCCTTGAATATAGGTCATCTGGTCTTATGTTTAGTATTCTTTGCCATGTTCTCTGTCATAGGTTTTAGGGTCTTTTGCCTGTACAGTCCAGCAGAATCCTCTACCAGTTCAACCTCCTTCCACCTTATTTAAATACCCTTAACTCTGGTAGATCAGCTTGTATGTATCAACCTGCTAACAAAGCCTTACCTTTGTCTTCTTTCTTTGAGCCCTTTACCAGGTTCCTGAGTGCCTGGAATTCCTTTCTTCTATCTGACAAACTGCATCTCTTTGCCCCCTAAAACTTAATCCTTCCCCTTGATGTCTTCCTAGACTGAGCAGAACTTAGGCTAAATGGTTGGTCCAACACAACTAAGTCCTTACCACTAGTGAATTAAACTCAGGGATTCCTGTGGGAACTTCACTCCTTTGAATTAGGGATCCCTACCTCTCTCCCTGCTGCAACTCTCCTTGAAGTATATAATACATAGACATATAATACATATATTACACAGACAGGATGGATGTGGGATGAATGTTAGGTTATGGCTGTGTTATTCACTTTTGATCTTTTGGAGTTTGTTTTTTTCTTTGAGAGATGGGAGATAGAGTCAGGAAGACAAGTTCAAATCCAGCCTCAGATACTTTACTAGCTATGTGACACTGGGCAAGCCACTTAATCTCACCACATCTCAGTTTTCCTCATCTGAAAAATAGGGCTAATAATAACCTCTACCTCATAGGATTGTTTTGAGAATTACATGAATGAACATATATAAGTGCTTTGGATGCCTTAAAGCTCTGTATAAATATTAGCTATTATCATTAGATATTATTCTTTCTATCTGAATAACTTGCCTACCACTGGAACTCCTTATCCTCTGGTGGCCTGTTAATGTGGGAGGGAGAAGCTTATAAAAAATCCCCATATGCAAGTGTTAGCTATCATCATCATCATCATTGTTATTATTATGTAAAAATTTGAATCAAGGAAAAATTCTCTCTAGGTTCATCAGATACTTTGGGACCTTTTTTTTTTAAACCTATTTCTTATCCATGCATCAAAATGTATTTGGAGAACTATGCAAAGTTGTAGGATGTTTACTTCTGAGAGTCAGATGGCTAACCTAAAACAGTTGAATTTCAGTAGTGACAGTACTACAAAATGAGCCAACTACAAAACATATTTGTCCGTGTGTGTGTGTGTGTGTGTGTGTGTGTGTGTGTGTGTCTTTGCTGGCACACAGCATGACTATGGGTGTGTTTGCAATTACTGAGGGTGAAACAGGAACAGCACTACCTTATCTCCCTGGTTTCCCAATGTCACTAAATGCATTTTATTTTGAGATTCCTGGTGGTGCTTGGCAAAGATAAACAAAATCTTCCATCAGGAAACCTGGGAGCTATTTCCACAGGAAGTTTCAAATCACTAAAGTAAATAGAAACTCTTTTACATGATCTCAGTGGTGTTATTTAGCTTTACTTGGGCTCTCACCACTGAGATGAGGCATAAAACATTTAGGGTTTGAGATATTAAAAAAAACAAACAACAGCTTGATTGGAAGGCCATGTCACATCTGCCCTAATGCCTTGTAGAAATTGTATACCACCATGCCTGAGATATATAGCAAATACAAAATGACACTGTGTTCCAGCAGATAAAATTCTAATATCTTATTGTCTGTAAGATAAAAAATGCCTGTCTCCTTCTTTATCATCTTTTGGTCTGTTTTCCAATCCTTCTCTTAGAAGCATGAAAGCTTTCATTGGTTTCCACTCTCCGTGAGCATTGACAGCTTCATAAACTCCAGCAACCCACATGTTCCCAGGTTTCAAATGAATACTTTGGCATTTCTTCAGACAGATAGTTTATAATAAAGCCCAAACCCAGAAAATCAGAAAAACAAGCAAACTGAGATTTAGGAAAAGAGTTGATATAATATCTAATTTTGGACTATTGTCCCCTTAAGGTTTAAAGGTTTCTTTATAGCTTTGTGTGCAAAAGATAATAATAATAATAATAGTACTACATAGTGCTTTTCATCTTCAAAGCTCTTTGCAAAATGCCTGGCCAAATTTTCTCCTCACATACTGACAAGCCGCCGGGTAACAAGCAGTGGGTGGTGCCAGAACCATTAACTAATTACTCTCTAGCATGTCCTAATGCAGCATGCTGGACTGACAGTGTGGTGGGATGGACAGAGCACCAGACTTATAAGCAAAGGCCTGAATTACAACCCTGACCTCTGTCACTTACTGACAGTGGGACCCTGGGCAATGCTTATGAAAATTCATTTCCTCGTTAGTAGTGTTGTTTGTTGTTAATTGTTTCAGTCATTTTCAACTCTGTGACCCATTTGGGGTTTTCTTGGTAAAGATGCTGGAGTGGTTTGCCATTTCCTTCTCCAACTCATTTTACAGATGAGGAAACTGAGGCAAACAGGGTCATTAGTAGCATGAGGATAAATTATATTTTCATTACCTACCTTACCTCCTGTTGGTTGTAAAGACCAAATGAAATAATATATGTAAACTCTGAGCATAAAGTGGTCCGTAAATATAGATTGTTATTGTAGAAGTCCAATGATTGGTTTAAGTTGAAATCTATAGAAAAATCAGAATTAAGAAGGTGAAACCACCAGATATAGCAGGAGAAGCAAGAATTTATGATAGTTAACAGCTGGTCATAGATATCTCAAGGGAATGGTGATATTGTTACCACAATTAAGCTAATTTATTAACTAGAAAATTTGGATTTTAAAAATAGCTTTTTTCCCCTAAAGATTTTTCCAGATTAGTTGTCACTGTTTCAGAAGAAATCTGTGGTATTTTCATAAAATCACGGAATGCTAAAAACTGGTCGAGGAATTTGGAGACACCCCTATTTTTAAAGATGAAGAAACTCAGAGACATTAAGCAACAAGTCTAAGATTTCACAGCAAATTAGAGTAGCAAAATCAAGACCTAGATCAACAAATGTCTTTTGATTTTCAGGCCAAAATACTGTTTCCCATTCTGTGGCCTCCATTCCATAACTGAGTGGATAGCCAACATTTTCTTTACAAGATAGCATCCTAGGTCTAGAGAAGGAAGAGACTTCACAGAACAGCTAGTCATCCCCCCTTACTTTACAGATTAGGAAACTGAGATTCTGAAAGTTTAATGACTTGCATAAAATTACTTAAGTAATAAATTACGATTCAGACCTGACATCTCTAATGTCAAATATATTGTCTTTTTCACTAGAATCACACCGTCTTCCATTCCTTTAACTCTCAGTGACTAAAGAGAAACTGTCCAATGTTTCCTTTATCAAAGAATAAATATAGCATTGCACAATTCACTCACTGCTGCCCATCTATTTGTTGTGTGTAACAGATGAGAAAGGAGTATGGAAGTTCAGAATTCTGAAAGAGTAGAAATCTAGAAAGAACTTAAAAGTTCTAGAACATTCTTATAGAATCTCACAACCTTGGGATTTGAGAAAGATATTCTTTGTGGTTTCCTCTCTAATGATTCAGATTCAATAATTGTATTTTGCTGTAAGAAAACAGTGCTGCATAATATCTATTATCAGATGGAAGAATAATGGAGCAGAAAGACCCACTGGATGTGGTGTCTAGGAATGACCTGGGTTCAAATCCAGCCTCAGACCATAGGCAGGTCAAATAACCTCTCTGAGTCTCAGCTACTTCATCTGTAAAATAGTGATAATAACAATGTCTTTAATATCTATTTTCCAGTGTTATTATAAGGATAAAAAGAGATTATGTACTTAAAGGATTATATACAAGTCAGATATAATGATTTTTGTATTTGCAAAGTCTTGTAAAGATTTGCCAAGTGTTTTACCCACCCTGAATCCTTTGGTCCATATAACAACCCTATGAGTTAAGCACTGCCAATCAATCAATCCACAATCAACAGGTATTAATTATATGCCTATTGTGTGCCAAGCACTCTGATGATACAAGTATAAAGAGTGAAGCAATTCCTATGCACAAGGAACTTACATTCTAATGGGGAAGCCAAATACATATAAAATATATTTTGTTATTGTTGAGTTGTTTCAGTCATATCTATTTGGAGTTTTCTTGGAAAAGATATGAAGTGGTTTGCCATTTCCTTCTCCAGCTCATTTTATAGATGAGGAAATTGAGACAAACAGGGTTAAGGGACTTACCCAGAGTCACATAGCTAGGAAATGTCTGAGTGTGGATTCAAACTCATGAAGATGAGTCTTCCTGATGCCAAGCCCAGGGCTCTATCCACTGCACCACCTAGCTGCCCCATAAAAATACATACAACACACATATATATAATATATACATAATATTAACAAATACACACTAACAGTTAAACACAGATAATGTATCTTCAATTTTACAGATAGGATCTTGAGGCTCAGTGGGTGAAGTGATTTTCTCAAGGTCACACAGTAAGAAGCATCATGGTGGGATTCAATCTCATTCAGGTCTCTCCTAATTCTATGTGATGGAGAGAGACAAGCAGGCTAAAACTGCTAAATGAATAGCTCTCATAAAAATGATCTTCTACCTCTCTTTGGTTAGCTATAGCAACATAAGCAAGTGGAAACAGCTTGAGGCAGTGTTGGGATCCTGACTGCCCATCAAATAAAAGATGTGTGTGATTTTATCTGAAGTATGAACACAGATAGATGGGAACTGATTTGAATATAATCATCTAGTGATTAACCTAGATACTTTATAAAGCCTTTTCTGGTCCCTCCAACATCTAGTGCCCTCCCTCCCAATCTTGTATTTAGCAACTTTTTATATATTTGTATTTATTAACTTTATACTTATGCTATTTTATATATATATATATATATATATATATATATATATATATATATACACATATAGATATAGATTATATGTACCTATCTCCTCCATTAGAAGGTAAGCTCATTGCCTTGTTGCATTCTTTGTACTTATATCCAAAGTGCCTAGTGCAGTGCCTGGGCATGTAGTAGGCAATTAATACTTGTTGATTGATTGACTTCTAAAACTTATAACCTCTTTTAGATCATTCTGAATATTTAGTTTTTTTCTCTGTATCCCCAGAGCCCAGCACAGTGATTTATAGCTTAAAATACATTTTTATTGATTGATTGAAAATATATTTGGCTTTCTGTGTAAATAGCTACATAGACAGCTTCCCAGTTGCCAGTGGTGAATATTGTATTAGAGAAAGTTTTCAAGAATGGTCTCTACCCAAGTTTAAAAATACAAATTAACTTTGAAGATACCCTTTGGCCTAAGGGGGAAATTGTCATCATTTTGCTTATGAATGCAGACTTGAGAGCTTTTTGTTCTGGATTCTGTTTCCTGCTTCATCACTGACTATGTGAGACCTTGGGCAGCTCAGTTTCTCTCTGCCACATTTTATTTATTGCTGAAGAATAGGAAAAAAAAAGGATACTTAACACTCTTCTCTGGGATACTTATAAATTTTCAGGCAAGAATAGAGCAGGAGATCCTTGTAATAACTGAGAAATACACAGTAGTTACTAGCATCTCATTTATAAAGACATTGATTCTCGTGGAAACTGACCGTCTTTTATTTTCATTTGTAGATGTGCCGAATGGATTTCATGTTAACTTGGAAAAAATGCCAGCCGAAGGAGAAGATTTGAAACTGTCTTGCATGGTCAGCAAATTCCTATACAGAGACATTACTTGGATCTTGCTGCGAACGGTGAACAATCGAACAATGCACCACAGCATCAGTAAACAAAAAATGGCGGTCACCAAGGAGTATTCCATCGCCCTCAATCTCACCATCAAGAACGTTTCCCTGGAAGATTCAGGCATCTATGCCTGCAGAGCCAGGAACATTTATACCGGGGAAGAAATTCTTCAGAAGAGAGAAGTTACAATTAGAGGTGAGCACTGCAACAAAAAGGCTGTTTTGTCTCGGATCTCCAAATTTAAAAGCACAAGGAATGATTGTACCACACAAAATAATGTAAAACATTAAAGGACTCATTTTTTAAAAAAGTAACAGTTGTCTCATATCAGCTTGATTTCTTGTCACTGTTGCTACCTTTCAGGCTCTGAGGAGGTGCTCCTCCCAAAAGGGGTTTGGAGACGATGCCAGTAATAATGAGACATCAAAATAACAACCCATGGGCTTCCAATTCAGTTCTAATGGGTCTGCTTTCTTGGACCAACTTGGTGCACGTTTGGATTTGGAGGATCCCTGCCCTGCATTCTCTGTGTTGTTTTTGTTCTTTGCTGTCTTCTCCTGACTGAGAAGCAACAACTTGGGACTGACCTTTTGCTTCCACTTTGATGCCAACTTCTTTTTTAAAAAAAAAAAGTGTTAAAGCTGCATAAACTGAATAATTTAAACAAACGATGGTTTTTGCCAAAGATGGACATGAATAAGTTAATGTTCCAGCTCACAATGAGTATACGGTTGAATTTGAGACTCTGGACCTCAGCCTAGTTTGGTTTTGCATTTTTTTTCATCCTATCTTGTCTTGTAAATATCACCTGCTTATTAGCACATTACCATGCTTATTTATTTGAGATGCTTTTCTACATTAAGCACATTATTTCTGTACTGCAACTTCTAAATGAGGCCCCAAAGCTGCAAAATGTTGGTAAAGCTCAGAGATATTAAAACTATGAACCAATATTAAGTGCAGATGGATGGACTCCATTGTCTGCATCTGATGCACATCCAGGTAGTTGATGGACAGTTCCATTTTGTGCAGATTCCCAGTCTTCGACTGGGTTCCTGGGCCACAGGTGGATTATGCCTCCAATCTTATGCTTTTGTCTCCTGTATGTTCTTTTAAAGGATTTTGTCATGTTAAAATGATGTCATTCAAAGACTGACTACTCTCAGTCTATCAAGGAGGTAAAGGCTATTATATATCTGGAGGTTTATTGGTTACTCTAAATTTAAAAGAAAAAAAGTCCCGCTCTCCCCATATGCAAGTGTTAATAGGATTTTTTATGGGGATTAAGAAATGGCAAAACTAAAGAATTAGCATTAAAGGTCATTTTCAAATACACAAACACTCGAGTGTTTTTAGCGTTGGTGGTGGCGGTTGTGGTCGATTTTTTTTTTTTTTTGCAGGAGAGGTTTTAGTGTCTTATTATAATAATAAAAAGAAATCTGCACTTGAGGGGAAAAAAGTGCCTGTTTTCCACAGGTCTGGTAATGCTTTATTATGTTAATTTCATTTATGATTGATCATTATATGTACTGGTATGAGCCATAGCAAAACAAGCTATAGTGACCAAAATAGCCCCTGCAGGGAAACAAAGTAGCTGAGCAGCTAAACAAGGGGTGACAACATGACAACTTCTCGTGCTTGGGAACTCAGCAGACGGTTTCCTCCTTTAGGTAACCGGCTCTGTCCCACGGCTAAACTTGTCTTTCACATGGGAATTGCTTTTGTCAAGTGTGAAAGAGTAAACAATAGCATTTCCCCAGAATGCCAGTTTTATGGAGCCTAATATGCTTGGAAAACAATTAGTAACCTGGAAGTTGTCAGCCCAAAGGAAAGAATAATCAATTGTATCTTGAAATTTTACCTATAACCCTCTGGCCTAGCTTTTTTGTTCATTATAAGTCAGTGTGTTAGCCTTCAGAAAACAATGCCTTTGTACCACAGAACTTGGGGGCCTTAAATTCACGCAAAAAAAAAAGTAAATGAAAGAATTGGGGCTTGCTTTTGAAATGTGGTAAACTGGGCCAGCAGTATTTAGCATTTTCCTCCCCTGGAAAAAAAAAAAGAGACATGCAACACTCTCCCTCTTTGGTGGTGGTTGTGGAGAGAATGATTTCCAGCAGGGAGGTGGGCATTATAAAGGGATGGGCATTATAAGAGGTGGGCATTGTACTTTATGAATTCCATTGTAACTCTTGTTCACAGGGTAATTGATTCTTGCCCAGGGAGCCTCATAAAAGAAAAAAAAATTATATAATTTGATGGGGGGAAGAAGGTGACAAGAAAGAGCAAAGGAAACACTAGAGATGGACAAGGGATATGAGGCTGGTTCCTTAGTCCCTGGACTATATGGAGGCCAAGCGCTTTGTATTTGTGGAAAACTGCTAAAATCGATGCTGCCCACATGGTTCTGGATGGTTTCTTTGGTCCTCTGGCCTCCGAAATGGTTGTGAAAATGCATCCTCAGAGCAGAATTTGGGGCCCTCACCATGAAAAGTAAACAAAAGTAACTACTCATTAATATTCCTAGAAACATATGACTTAGAAGAACTGTCTCTAGTGACTGGTATTCATCTAGAACATGTTACTCCTGAACCTCCTCATCTCGGACTGAACGTCAGCCACATCTTATCATCTTCTGGAAATTTTTATCTACTTCAGTCAAGTAGCTTAAACTAATAATTACTGTTTCCACGTGCCTTTGTTGTTGAAACTATCATAATATGTTGTGTTATAAAATGGGGACTGACAAAACATAATTCCCTGGATGACTCATGCAACAAAGTTTGCCCATCATAAACTAGCCTAAAGAAAGGCTTTTCACCTGGGAGAACATTTTTTAGAAACGTGTTCAGAGGAATAATCGACTCTGCTGTGTGTTTGTAGCACACCTACACTAACATGAAACATATTTGAGATTCCCATATTTGATTTTGCAACCATTCTGTTTCTTCTTGTCTGAGGGCTAGGCCCCAGGGGAAGGGAGTCAGGGAGGGGAATTCCTCCTAAAGGTATTTATTTTTTAATTAGGAGATTATCTTGGGTGCAAGAAAGCTCAAATCTCATGTCGACGCTTTCATAGTTTGTAGCCTTGAAAATAATGGTGATGATATGGACACAGAATTTAGACTTCACTTTAATATCAAAGAGAAAAAAAGCATGAGGGATGTGATGTCCTGGAATGAGGATAAGGGAAAACGTCCAAGGCGGTAAGGGGCATAAATAGATGGACTAGGCCTCATTCTTAAACTGGATTCTTCGAAGTTAGTCCCCACCATGAAAGTCCCTGGTCAATGTATGAATTCAAATAAAAAAAAATTCTAACCAGTCCAAGACGTGGTAGATGCAATATATGGCTATTCTTTATTATCTTGGCATGCCTCTTTGACATGTTTGGGGTCTTGCTGTGGTAACATGTCAAGCTTGTAAAGATAAAACATGGGCATGGTGTCATAAATGGAAACCTTTGATGTGCAGCTGTGTTTTCAAATGAAAAAAGCTGCATGACAGACATTGCCCAGAATGCAAAAGAAGGAATATAATAATATTTCTGCCTATGGGGCCCAGTTAGAGGCAAAAACTCCTGGGCTGGCAGATGAATGAGTGCAGTCATCCTGGTCTGAAGAAGGCTGTGGAAATCAGACCACCTTCTTCTACCCCAGTCAATACTGTACTTTGCCTTCCAGACTTAGTGTTTTACGAAAGGACAAAGGACTAATAAGCTACGGAAATCTAAATTTATGGGAAAGTGTTTATCTTAACAGATAGTAACCCTGTCATGTTATACTGCTTCAGCAATATTTTTAAAAAGTTATGTGGCGGTGTTTTTCACATAAAATTTCTAAATTGCATTAATTAGTGGTGATGCAGAACTTGCCTGAAGGAATTAAAAAGAGAAGGATTTGGGGAGTCTTTGGAATCCCGCAGGGGGCCTCAGAATTAATGAAATCATTTCAGTGTATCACCCCTTGCAGCCCCTTAGCTGCCTTCACTGTTACATTATACTAAGAGAGGGAAACAAAGCAGTTAGCGAGTGTCAGAGAAAGCTGATACTGTATGAGTGAAACCACTGATGTAGCATGTGTAAGTTTTGCCAAAGATGTTTTCATTTCTGTTTCAGGATCTGAAGAGGGTGATTTGGGTGGGTGGGGGAAAGACATTAGGCACTATTGTTTTCTTACATTTTGGAAACTTGGGCTGCCAATCTATCACCAGCATAAACAGAATGTATACATATCAGCAGGACTGACTTAATATTGCCTTTGTAGAGAGACTGTATTCATTGGGGGTACTCCTGTCCTTGTGTGGGATTTTTAATGTTGTAATGTATTGCATCCTATGTATTAGAATTCATTTTGTTGTACTATATTGTTTGGCATTTTATTAAAATAAATTGTATTGTATCATATTTGTAAGTTTTAAGAGATAAAATGGATAATATAAAATATAATATTTGTACTATTATATAGTGCAAAAAACTACAGACCTGTGCCTCTGCCTCTTGAATTGGTCCTTTGGACTCTCCTGCACTGGGGAAGGAGAGGAGAAGTGGGGAGAAAATAATCAATAAAGCTGCCACACTTAACAAAATACCTCTGTTTGGTCTGTTGCCTTGAAGGTTATGCCGGGATGTTAGCTTAAGTGGGAAGCCATTTTAAACTATCGTCTAGAAAATCACAATACTTGCCATGTACATAAATAGTAAGTTTTTGTTTATTTAGCCCTTTTGCATATTATCAGGTTTTGAGGTCTGTGACATCTCCTTTCGAAAATAGGACCCTTAAACTGGATCTTCCTGGAGTTGATGTTTGAGGGGCTTACACACAACACACACACACACACACACTCCAACAAAGATACATGTGTAATTATATCTTCTGTCCCCAAATCCACCATAATCCTATATAAAACCATGTTGCTAAGTCATGTCTCTTAACGATTGTTCTGGATCCTTGGTTTTTAGAACTAGTGCTCTTCAGGAGAGGAAAATGAATTAGTGTAATTGTAGTGTGCCAACATCTTTGAAATAAAATCTGATAGGAACCTTCCATTAATCCTTGCTAATACTCTCTGTGTCCTGGTTTTTAATTTAGTGTTCTAGTGGTAGCCTCAGGAGAGGGAAGAATCTGTTGACCATAGACTGACTGTGAAGAACAAAATAATGGTGTGAGGACATCAATTTGGGTGGAATGCTTTCACAATTCACTTTGATGTTTGTAGTTTATAGTTAAAATGATGATCATGAACATGCAAGTCGGATGAAAACTGATGAATAACCAAAGCTCCCTTTCTTTATTTACTAGATCAGGAAGCACCCTACCTCCTCCGTAACCTCAGTGATCAGATAGTGGCCATCAGCAACTCCACCACTTTAGACTGTCAGGCAAAAGGTGTGCCAGAACCACAGATAACCTGGTTTAAAAACAACCATGAAATACAGCAAGAGCCAGGTAAGAGGCTCCTTAATCATCCTTCCTCTTTCCCATTTTCCATTGACTTTTCTCCCCTGTCATTTTTCCATTACTTCCTCCTTGATCAAGGGCTCCTCACCTTCTTTGTATCAGGATCCCTCTGGCAGTCTGATAAAGTCCATATGTGGCACCCTTCTCAGAATCATGTTTTTAAATGCATAAAGTCAAATAGATAGGAGTTCAAAGATTATACTGAAATTCAGTTATACTGAAACATACATGTATGTTTTTTACCATCCAAGTTCGTGGACTCCCTGAAATTATTCACAGATCAAGTTTAAGAACCTGTATTCTGATGCATTAGTAACTCAAACTGATAGAGTTTTTGGAATTGAATTGCCCGCACCAGGCTATTTGCTCTCCTTCAGGTTGTAATTTCAACAGTTAATAAGGAATGCCAACACCAGTTCTTCAGCTCAACACAGCATGTTACCAGGTGTGTGCTGGAGCCGGCTCATACTGGCTCACAAGACTGGATTGTTAAATTTTTCAGTATGAGCTTTTACACATTGGAAATCAGCAAGCACCACAAATCAGGGCTTGATTGATGGTTTTGCTGAATTTTGGACTTAAAAAAGTGATAAGGAAAAAAAAGTTAATGCAAGGGGCAGCTGGGTGGCACAGTGAATAGAGCACCAGCCCAGGATTCCAGAGGACCTCAGTTCAAATCTGGCCTCAGACACATAATACTTACTAGCTGTGTGACCCTGGGCAAGTCACTTAAGCCCATTGCCTAGCCAAAAAAACAAACAAACAAAATGTTAAAGCAGAGTAAACTTAAAAGTGTGCTATCCAAATTTTTTTTTATTCAGAAAGCTAGTTGTTAAACATTTACTGGTGCACCTTACAGTTTTAACTTTAATATGACTCTACCACAATCTACTCAAATAGTACCCTACTTTAGATTATTGGATTACAAACAATGATCAGCAAACCACTATAAAACAAACCTGACAATTGGAAAGTCAGGAGCTTTGTACTTGAAGAGAGAAAAATGCTAATACTTGGCTCATATTTATGTAATGTTTTAAAGTTTACAGGGCACTTTCTTCAAGATGATCCCATAAGGAATAGATGATGTAAGTATTAACTCAATTTACAGAGGAAACAACTCTGCCCTATAGAGGTTAAATGACTTACCTCAGGTCACACAGCTAGTAAGTGTCAGGATCAGGACTTAATCTAGATCCCTTAATTCCGAGTTCAGAGTTCCTCGATAAATTTGCATACCTGACCTGTATAAACTCTGAAAACTGAATTTTGCCTATTTAAATTCTGTTGTCCTTTTGTTTCCCAACTATAGCAAAACTAATTTTCCAAGAGATTAAAAAATATCACAAGAATCTCAATTTAATAAGAGTGGAATCAATTTTTTTTCCCTTAAGAAAAAAAGATGCATCAAAATCACCTTTCCATTTTCACTGGCTAAATGGGACTTTTACTGGCTCGTGCGGACACTGGAGCTGTCTTTCTTGCTAAGTTTCAGTGCAGTTGCAACAAGTAGCAGCCTGTCAGTTGTCTGCCTCTTAATAACTGGGTCTGCTTCATGAAAGCCTTTGCCCATTATTGGCAAATTGGTATTATATAAAATTGATGTTACATAAGCCAAACAGTACAGAAAAAAGTTTTACTTCTGATTCCTGCTAAGTACTTTTCTTTTTCTAATTCCCAACATAATCTGTTTTATGTTCCTGAAACCATGTAGCAGCCTCTGTAACTATGCAGAAGTTCCTTTTCCGTTCCAACTTTTTTTTTTAAATCGGGGATTTGGAGGAAGATAGATATGATTTGCTTATCAAATTTCTACATGATAAAAAGCTGAGAGTGATAATTAATAAAGCAGAAGTTAGAAATTAGGACCCCAGAAGCTCTTGGGACTCTATAACTAGACAAAATCTACCAAGATGAAACCTAATACGAATAAATAAGATAAACTTGAACTCCAGTTTTTAAAAACTGCATAAATACCTAATAGAAAACATGAGTAGACAGTAGTTCACATGAAAACGATCAAGAAGAGGGGAAGCTAGATGGTGCAATGGATAGAGCCCTGGCCCTGGATTCAGGAAGATCTGAGTTCAAATTTGGCCTCAGATTCTTGAAACTTACTAGCTGTGTGACCCTGAGCAAGTCATTTCACCCCGTTGCCTTGCAAAAGAAAAAAAATGATCAAGAAGATTCCATAGACTGCAAGATCACAATGAGTCAACAGTGTGATATGACAGCCAAAAAATTAATGCAGTCTTAGACTCCATTAATGGAAGTATTGGTGAAACTCTTCCCTGATCACACCACATTTGTAATATTTCACTCAGCTCTAAGTAGGTCCATTGACAAACTGAGTCCTGACTAGAGGAAGGTGGTTAAAATGGGGAGAAGTCTTAAACCATGGCATATGAAAATCTGTTGAAGAAAAGGGTGGAGTATTTAAGAGAGGGTATTTTTTTTAAGAGAAAGAAGGTGGTTAAACTAAAGGGGAAAAAAGTTTGGGAGAATATGTTCATTGTCTTCAAATGTTCTAAAGGTGGTCACATTAAAAATGGAATTAGATTTATTTTGCTTGACCTCAGTGTGCAGAACTTGGATTAATAGGTGAAAGTTGTACAGCAGCAGATTTCAGTTCAATACAAGAGGGAATTTCTGAATGAAGAGCATCCAAAAGTAAAAGAGGCAGTCTTGGAAGGTAGTCAGTTTCCTATGGTGCCATAACTAGCGATTTTGGCATCTGGGAGAAGAAACACAGAATAGTTCCTGGGGCAAGCAGCACTAAATGCCCTCTAATCAACCTTGGGTGGGAAGGGAGTGCCAAAAGAAATCCAGGATACCCTTTCTCTGGGACTCTGGGGGGCCACTACTAGGGAGGCTACCACTCTTGGGAGGGCAGGATTAGCTGGATTGTGAAGGAACTCACCTAACACGTGGCCACCCATAGACAGGAAACATGTCATCTGGTACCTTCCTAATTTAATTCATTTTGCTAATCAGTTTTCAAGCTGCTTAAGCAGAGAACATGCTGTCAAAAAGTTAAAAGTTCATATTCTTTTAAAATTATTATTATAATTTTTTGTGTTTTCTCCATTCTAGTGCCTTGGGGCAAAGCTCTTGTTGCTTTGACAGTTACAATTCTTAGATTCCTGCCATTGAAAGTATTTGAGCCAAAACTAAAGCACCATTTGTTGGAGATCTCACAAAGGGCAGTCATACTTCGGTACACATTTAGGGTTCTTCCAACTTTGAGATACTATAATTTCCTTCTGTTCAATATTAAAGTCAAATAAATATACATAAGTTTTTTTTTTATGTACTGAAGAAGGTAACTCAGAAAGATCTGGTTTCAAATCCTGCCTCTGACACATACTGGCTGGGCAGAAATGCTCTAAGTAGCAGAAGAGATTCTAGCCTGTATCAGTTACAGTTTTCTCACCTGGGAGTTGCCTGTATCAATTACATCACAGGTGAAGTCCCTATCCATTTGCTGAATAGGACAATGATGGGAATTCAAAATTTTAGGTGGGTGGGATATCTCAGAACAGTGAGCTTTTTTTTAAGAGAGTTTCAGCTGTGCTTCATTGTTTTTTTTTTTTTTTGCTTGGCATTAAGGTGGAAATAATAGAATTGGGGGGGAGATATAAGCAACTTTAGGGATTATCTATCTCAACCTCTTCCTTTTACATATGAAGAAACAGATTTAGAGAGATAAAGTGACTTCTAAAATACAGGAATGTCAAGATTTCTTCAAATGTGCAGTGCTGTTGTATGACTAAGTTAATGAGTAGGGATTTCACAAACAAATATGAAATTGACTTCAATTCACATTGATGTCCATACTTTGGGTATATTGAAGCCTTGGGTCTAAAGAATGGGAATATAAATAGTGTCATCATTGTTGTAGGAATAATAAATAGCTTCTTTTCTCTATGGGTCAAGGGAAAATTTCCCTTATATTTTATTGTACATTGATGGGTTCTTTTGAATGGGATTCCAGGGTGCTCTGGGAAGCTCAGAGCATTCAGCCAGAGCAAGATGGCTCCACATCTGAGGTCCTGATGTCCTGATGTCCATTCTTAAGGGACATGGGTGCTTCAGAAAAAAAAATCAGCTTTCTTCCAGCTATTTATTTT